CTGCCATTTCACTTCTCAAATATATCGTTTGAAGGGCTTTTTTTTTTAACACTGAAAATGGCTTTTATAAAATCTGTGTTTTCGAAACAAATAATGAAGCCAAGTGAACAATTCTGCAAATGAACGCCATCCCTCAGGTCCTACTCCTTTCTAGGGAACTGACCAAATCCACCCACTTGGGGTCAGACCTTCCTGTTCTCAAGGAGAATGAGACTCTTCGTGGAGTTCGTGCAGATGTCACCAGCCAGTAAAGAGATGTGGTCTGAGCTGGGCCTTTTCTCTTCACTTGTTGTGCCATGAAAATATGTTGTAGAAGGGGGAGTGGGTTGCCATGACAACTATGACCAGAAGGATCCATGTGACCTACATGGATCCTCGGAATGAGAGAGGCTGTAGTCGGCATGAGTTGGCCTTTCTCAGTGGATGGGCAGGAGAGAGGGCCTGAGGGAAAGGTCAGTGACCACCGCCAGCAGTTCCCAGACTCGCTAGTTCTCTGGAAATGGCAACATCAAGTTCCTTTACCTGCTAACTAGAGAATCAGGCTGGATCTGCAGGAAACCTTGGCAAGAGAATTCCATGAAGCTCTGTCTGATAGAGGCAGCCATTTTGACCCATTCTCCCACCACATACACTCGGTATTATCAATAAATTGTTCTTTTCCAGTGAGTTGATTCCCAAGTGAACCATTAGAATAGCATTCCTCTCTCGAATGTGTACAAGGTAAAGTGTATATGTCTTAAGTCTGACCCCTCCACTTTTTCACACCTCTTGTCCATAAATATTGAAATTAGACCAGGTCAAAATTCATATCACTGTCGCTTAATTTCTGCACTTAAGAAATACTCAGAAAATGAAAATGTTAGATGGCTTGGAAAATTCCTTCTAGAAGTTCTTATTATCATCTTTCCTACTGCTACTTCATCCTCTCAGATATTTTGGGTTGTTGGGAAAGTCATGACACATTTTTGCTTAGAAAGACAGAGAAAAATATGTCATGATTTTCCAACAACCTAGTAAAAAAAAAGTTAATTAACCATAAACCTTTCAAATTGCTCAATATGAAACAAAGGCATGTAAAATGTTATAAGACACCTATATTTTTTACTTCTCCTCCATCTGTGTGGATGGCACTCTTGTCTCCTTCAGCATCATTTAGTCCATGTTGTTGTGTTGCTAGTAGAATACCGGAGAATGGGTGATAAATAATAGAGGCTTATTTGGCTTGCGATTCTAGTGGCTAAAGAGTTCAAAGTCGTGCGGTTGGCATCAGGTTGGCCTCTGGTGCTACATTATAACACGTCCACCATGAGCAGAGAGCTCGGTAGGCACCAGGGGGCAGCCATCCTTTTATAACAACCCTCTCTCCTGGAGACTTACTCCTTCTCACGAGAGCTGGAACTCACTCTGTCGCTCAAGGCAGCATTAATCCATTCATGGGGGGGATGTCTCCCATGATCCAAACACCCCCTGCTAGGACTGGCCTCTTCAGAGTCTCACCACCTCCCACCATTACACTGGAGACCAGCTTCCAAAACAGAATAAACCATTAGCTAACCCTTAGCAAGCATATGCTTTTTTGTTTTTGTTTTCTTTTTGTACTTGTTTTTGTTTTTTGGAGAGCTTTTTTTGCCATTGGGCGCGTGCGCTCACCAGACAGATAGAGAGAGATAGAGAAATAGAAAGTGAGGAATCACCCCCCAGGGGAGATGGCCACACCACAATCCCTTCTCCTCCATTCTCCTCTCGGGATCTTGGGCACACACGCACACACGCCCGGCGTGAGTTTAAGCCACCGCGTCTGGGACGTGAACCGCGGTCGACTACGTGGGAGTCCAGCGACATAGCCATTACGCTAACTGTTGGTCCCTTTTTGTACTTTTTAATTGAGAAATAAAACATGATAGAAAAATCACAGAACAGTATACATTTTATATGAACAGCATAGTTTAATAAATGATTATAAAGAGAACACTCAGGTTAAGAATAAAACATTACCAGCACCCTGCAAATCCCTTGGGTGCTTTTTCTCATCAAAATCCTCTTGTGCCCCAAAAGTAACTACTTTCCTAACTTTTGTGGTAACCATTTCTTTTTGTAATCTTTAGATCTTTCCACCTACATTTGTATCCCCTAAATGCTATAATTGCATTTTGCTTGTTTTGTTTTGTTTTTATTGCTAAAGGGTGTATGTGCTTGTCAGAGAGAGAGAATGTACCCCTCCCCACAGGGCGTGGTCACGCTGTTATCCTTTTCCTTCCATTTCTCCTTACTGTCAGGATTTGAGGTACACATACACATGTTTGGCGTGTTTTTCAAGCCACTGGGGCTGGTGCTTGAACCATGTGAGATCTGCCTCCCAGTGCACAGTAATTAACCACTATGCTATGGGATAGGCCCTTTTGCCTGTTTTAGATCTTCACATGAAGGGGGGTTCTACTACCTATGTTCTTTTGTATCTCTTTCTTTCCCTTGATACTATGTTTGTGAGATTCACCCATTCATCCACTGTGGCTGTATGTTACTATCGTTCATTTATTTTGCTGCTATATAGTATCCATTGTATGAATGATTATGTATCTATAATCTACATATAGTTACACTATCTATTCTAATGTTGATGGCTAATCGGGTCCTTTCAGTTTAAGGGCAGTGCAAATGTTCGGAAGGGTTCTGGCACTTAAGTTGAGTGTTTACTTAATAGAGGAATGTCTGGGTAGTGCTGTGTGGATCTCCCATAGCACTGGAGGCCAGATTGTTCTCCAGTGTTGATGCTCACCACCGAAACACGTGAACATTGTTCACAGAAACACGTGAACATTCTACTTGTCCACATCCTCACTTGGAATTGTTGGAGTGTCTACTTTTGTATTTTCTTTTTCTAATGATGATAGATTTAAAGAATTCAGATGCAGCTAAGATTTACTAAGTACTACCATGAAGCAGTGCCTGCACTAGAAGCCTCTATGTGGGATCGAGCTACAGGGACCATCGCGACACATGCTGGCCCTCTCATATATGTATATTTTAGGTTTTTGCCATAGGGTGCATGCACTTGCCAGAGAGCAACAGAGATTGACAGAGAGGGGGAAAGTGAAAAATCACCCCCCAGGGGGCATGGCCACACCATAATCCCTTCTCCATTCTCCGCTCATAATTTTGGGCATGCGCACACGCGTGCCTGGGGTTATTTTCAAGCCACCAGGTCCTTGACTGGAACTGCTATCAGCCCTGTGAAAGTCCAGCGACTTAACCACCACACCACCTGCTGGCCCCTCACACATGGTTTTTAAATTTTTCTTTTATTTTTTATTGCCAGGGGACATGTGTATTCAACAGTGGAACATGGTCATGCCACAATCACTTCTCCATTTCTCCATCTTGTCAGGAGTTTGGGCACACACATCTGGCAAGTTTTTCAAGCTACTGGGATTCAAACTGCAGTTGGCCACATGGGATCCAGGTCCCTGTACTCCCTGTACACTTAACCACTGTGCTAAAGGGCCAGCCCCATGTGTGATTTAAAAATAGCTAATCCTCGCAGAGTCACAATATCCCTTAAAGGAGGTGATGTTCTCCCTCTTTTATAACTGAGGAAACTGAAATTTGGCCACAGGCCCAACATTTCCCAGCTGAGGCCCTGACACAGCTGGGACTTGAACCCAGGTCAGGCTGACTACAAACAGCACATTCTCCCCACATTGTTGCCGTCTTCACGCCTGCTCTCTGCTTCCCCACATCCTCATGTGGAAGACAGCCGGAGGCCTGTTGCCTGGGGCCCACATGAGGCCTGGCTGGGGAGTAGGGCCTGGCTCTGACCTGCAGCCCACTTTAGCTCCCAGGGCTCACCACCAAACGAACACTGCAGGAGCGGCACACTGCACTGACTCAGCAGAACCATGTTTCTCTTAACACTCCTTGGACGGTTTATCCTGTTTTCTTAATGCACAGAAATGTGCTTCCTTCTCTTTCCACCTAAGCCTAGGGCCTCTGTAAGTCTTTCTGCAATGAAATTCTCTGTCTCTAAGCTATTAGAGGTAAATACTGTGTCACTGGGGCCAGCAGGTGGCATAATGGTTACCTTGTTGGACTCCCACATAGTCAACTGTGGTTTGAGTCCTGAACCCAGAGACTTAAAACTCACACCAGGTTCTTCGTGTGTGTGTGTGTGTGTGTGTGTGTGTGTGTGTGTGCCTAAGATCCTGAGAGGAGAATGAAGGAGAAAGTGTTGCGGTGTGGCCATCCCCCTGAGGGGTGATTTCTCACTTTCTATTTCTGTCTCTTTGGCAAGCGCATACATCCTATAGCAAAAACAATCTCTCTCATAAAAAAAATAAAACAAACAAATACTATGTTGTTAATCTCTTTTAAAAAAATCAGATGTGGGGCCAGTCCTTTAGCACGGTAGTTAAACACCATTAAGGGAACCAGATCCCATATGGCCAACTGCAGTTCGAATCCTGATGCCAGCAGTTTGAAAAACATGCCAGGTGTGTGTGTGTGTGTGTGTCTGTGTGTGTGTCTCCAAAATTCTGACAGGATGGAGAAATGAAGGAGAAGGGATTCTGGCATGATCACACCCCAATGAGTAGTGCTCTCTCTCTCTGGGGAGCCCCTGGCAATAAAAAGTAAGTATTTTTTTAAAAAATCAGATGTGAGGGCCACCCCATGGTGTGGTGGTTAAGGCAGCTAGATCCCACAGGGCCAACTGCACCATTTAAGTCCCAGACCTGGCCGCTCAGAAAACATGCCTGGTGCATGTGCATTTGTGCCCCAAACCCCAAGGGAGGGAGAGATGTAGAAGGGCCTGAGGCGCAACCGTCCTCTCTGGAGAGTGCTTCCACTTCTCTTTCTCTCTCTCTCCCCGACAAGCACATGCACCCTCTAACAAATCAGTAGTAATAATAAAAATCGTACATGAACTGCCCACAGGGGTGAACACAGGGGAAGGCGCACAGGGAGTGGAAGGGGCTGCTGTCCTCCCGGCTCTGTCCTTAACTCACCCAGCCCATGTGAACCTTCCTGAGCCTCTGTTTCCTCTTCTGTAAGATGAAGGGCGAAACTGGCGCGCTCGGCGGCACTTTCTAGCAGTGGCGTCTGCAACCGTGTTCACTTCTTCAACAAGCACTCATCGAACACCTTCTGTGTGCATGCGTTTACAGTCAAAGTCCTGGTCCATATTATTGATAGACAAAATGCCACAGAGCTGTTTTCTCGTTTCCCTGCTCGTGGCTATTCATTATTCTGGTTTCGCTATTTTTAATCATTGGGTTTAGTTCTCTTTTAGCATAAATACATGTGGAAGGGCTTGGGGGAAGAAAGGGACAGCTAACCCTTGGACTCTTCCCACAGGCGGGCTATCAGTGGGTATGGCCACCATTACTAGTTAAACCACAGCCCCTGCCCACAGCGGGTGCCACTGGTAGCACTCTGACTTTTACCGACTCAGCAGATCACCAGAGCTATAGAAAACTGCCATGTGCTTCTTGAAGCCTTTTGCAGGGACCTAACATAATCATGGCCAAAATAAAGAATGCCAAGTCCTCCTGAGTGCACAAGAGGAGAGAGAAATATTATTACTAAGTTACCAGACTCTTTTGGCTTCTAACCACAGAGAACCTGCCGCTCTGGGAGAGCCTCACTCCTGCCGAACGGGCATTGCTGTCAGACAAGCTGTTTCTGTTGGTTTCCTGAGTGTGTTTCGGAGCTGTCCTTGAGGAAGATCTCAATTTCCTTTAACTAGGTGCAGCTCTGGGTTCTGCTACGTTCCTTGGTGACCTGTGACTTCTTAGGAATATGTCCCAACGACATTCCTTCCCTCAGTTACCACCATGTCCCTCACTAAGGACAAATTCAATACAGTTTGTGTTTTCTTTGCTCAGCTGTGTCCTGCACTTGGCCAGCATGCCTTCTTGCACTAACATGGCAGCCCTTTGCAGCCTCCTGAAAAGCAGCCTAAGACTTTCAGGCCAACTCCTGGTATGGAAGAGGAGGTAGGAAACAGACTCTTCTCCCCACCCTGCCACTACCCCAGACTAACTGAGGTATGCTCACTTGGAGGATCAGACTGCTCATGTTTTTCTTTACCACTTCCCTCTTAAGGCAGGAGTCCCCAACCCCCTGGCCACAGACCAGTTTCCCCCCACCCCCCACCCCCAGATCTGTGGTGAGGGGTGGGCAGCGGGTTAGCCAGCAAGGCTTATGCTGTGTTCCCAGCCACTCCATCACTCTCATTGCCACCTGGGCCCCATCACCTGTCAGATCAGTGGCGGTGTCAGCAGGGACTGCGAACTCTATTGTTGTGTAACTATGTTGTTGAATATTGCAGTGAGGTAGTGGTGGGAATGAGGTTCATGGTGGATGTGGTGCACTTGGCTCATCCCGGGACCAACCTCCCCTGCCCCTACCCAGCCATGCAGGGATTGTCCCCACGAGGCCCGTCCCTGGTGGCAGGAAAGTTGGGGACTGCTGCTCCAAGAGATACGAGGACAGAGGACTAATTCCTAGGTAAAGTGAAATCTATTTTTTCAAAGTGCTGGAATGACCTTGTGATAGATCAGGACCCACTACTTCAGGCTAGATTTCTGTCTACGAGGTTTGCATTCCTCAAGCCCTTGGAGCAGTTCTGAAGGAAGGTCCCAAGCACTGGACCACTAGCCACCTGCTCCTCTCCTGTGTGGGGCGCTGGAGTCCTGAGACGCTCCTGGCCACAGGCAATCTGACCCTCACCCTGGTCAGTAGGGAGTGCGAAGGGGAAAGCAGTCCTCAGCTCTGTGTCGGGCAATACTAACGTCAAAGACCAGTTGTGATCTTGGGGTTGGAAAGTGGGGCCATCATCTTAGTTTTGCCCCATCTGGCTCCCCTGAGGGTTCACCCCCAGAATCAGTTTTCCTCCCTTCCCTTCAGCAGCCCTCAGGTATTTAATAGTGCTTCCAGGAGGGCCCCGGTGAGGAAGGTGTTGTATCAAGACCGAGGCATCGCCTGCCTTGTCCGAATGTGCTCAGCCCAGTGCTGGCTGAAATGAAGACTGAGATTGAGCGCTCCGTAGGTCCGTTACTTAGGCTAGATGGAGGGACCAGCAGATAGTGTAATGGACTCCCAGTCAACCAAGGTTCGCAACCCAGACCAGTGGCTTAAAATTTATGCTGGGTGCATCTGTGTGCATAAGAGGAGAATGGAGGAGAAGGGCCATCCTGGGGGTGGGGATGATTTCTTGCTTTCTGTTTCTCTGTCTGGCGAGTGCATGCACCCTGCAGTAAAATCTCTCTCAAAAAAAAAAAAAAAAATTAAAAAATAAAGACTCGATGGTAGGGGCCGGCAGGTGGTGTGGTGGTTAAGGTGCTGGACTCTTACATGGTTGACTACAGTTCAAGTCCTAGACCTGGCAACTTGCTTTCTCACTTTCCTTCTCTCTGTCTCTCTCTCTCAAAAAAATAATGAGAATGAATAAAATTACTTAAAATAATTCTTTAAAAGAAAACAAAAAGACTAGGTGGTAGACATCTTTTAGGTAGGGCTATGTCCTGGATTTTCCCTTCGGGGCTTACTGGAGCTGTGGCAGCAGCTCTGCCAGTATCCTCCAAACACTGCTAGAGATTGAAAGCAACGTCTCACACACCCACGTGCTATACTCGCTTTGAATAGTAGACACTTAGATATTTGTTATTACAAATTGCTCTCAATCGGTGGATATTAAGTTGAATCACAATAATGGGACTTTTGACATTTGAGGCTCATACATAGCAGAAATTTGGATAAACAATATCAATGGATATTTTTTATCTGATGTTGGTTATCCTCATTCCTGTATCCCTGGCTTCCTTTTCTGGGGGGATGAGCCTAAGGAAAAATGTCAACGCTGTCTCATCAACAGTGGAGCTTCTGTGGATAATGGATTTATGTCTTTTTACTTCTGCCTTCATTGACCTATAAATGTTGTCACAGGAAGGATTCAGTTTGAGAAAATGCATCCTGTTAAAAAGAGATGGGCCTGGACCGTAGAGAGCGGGTGGTGGTGGTGGTGGTGGTGGGGGGGTACCAGGTGCAA